AGAGCCGCAGCTCCATCCGTGCCCCGGCTGCTCTGCAGAGGTGTTACAAGAGGCCCAGTGGATGGGGGACAGTTTTTAAACAAGGGGTTTTATAGGACACACGGACACTGTAACACCGGGCACAGCACGAGGGAAGGCAACTGTGGCACCCCCTTTGCTTATCACCTAAATCCCCAGGAACTTGGCAGCCAAAGGAGGAGCCCAGAGCAGGTGGTTAACTCCAGCCTCCGTGTCTTTATTTCCACAACAGTTTTCATTTAATAGGGGAAGGGAAAAGCACCTTTTCCAGTTTGAAGTCTTCACGTCTTGCCTGCGTCACGAATTGCTCCGGCTTGTTCCTTGGAACATCCTGCTCAGCTTTGTTCCTTCTACAGGAGGAAATAAGCCCAAGTGAGAGGCCACAACAGTCCTTTTAAACCTCTCTTCACCCCAGCTGCAGTCACGGTCACAGGTTTGCTGAGGACACTGCAGTGAGCCTGCGACAGCCCCTCTGCTCCTCCTGCGCCGGGGCCAGGCCTTGCTCACCTCTCAAGGACAGCGCTGCAGCACAGCCCGAAGGGAACCGCCGCCGCGCAGCCCCACGGGCAGGAACTGGGAAAGGGCAGGAGGGCTCTGCCCATCGGTTCAGGGCACACGTGGGCACCTCATCGCTGTTGGTGCCACTGAGCCCGGAAGCTCATGCAGGACAGTCCCGTGTGCGGGGGAGTGTGCCCAGGGCACAAGCCTGCACTCAGCAGTGACCGGCTGCCGAAGCCAGCAGAGCTTTCTGGCCCTGGCTTGTCAGGAGGGGGAAGCAGAACCACCCCCTCCTCCCGCCGTGTCCCACAGCAGCCGGGGATAACGGCCCGTTTCTCCCCGAACCAGCGTGGAGCCTCTCCTGGACCCTGCGGAGCTTTTCTCCTGTTCAGACTCCAGCGAATGGAGCCTCCCGAGAGCTCCAGGCTCGGATGCTGGCTGGGAAGTCAGCTCCACCCCACACACAACTGCCAGAGTCTACATTTACCTACATTCCTTCCCCTTTCCGAACAGTTGGAGAAGCCCAGCGAGGAGGGGAGCAGGCACCTAACTTCAGGACATGGAGTATTTTATTTTCTCTTCACCATCTTGGACTTCAGCAGCTCCGGGAACGAGTTCTGCCCAAGCAGAGCTGTTCCTGCAGAGAACAAATCAGCACTTTCTCTTTGCGATGCGTCTGACGGAGACACTTCCCACCAGCAGCAGGATTTTCAGACCAGTGACGCTGCTCGTCGGGCACTCACCGGCCTCACTGACCACGGAGCTGCTGCCGGGGAGCTGGGAGCAGGGACGGGAGGATGTGCCCAGTCACGGCCCTGGGTTGTACCTGTGAGAGGACAATGCTGACCGTGACAGTGCCGTGACCGGCTGCAGCAGGGCCCTGTGCAGCTCTCAGCCAGGCGCTGACCTGGAACTGACCATGAGGCTTCCCGAGGTGTTGATTATTTGCCATATACTTGAATGTATGAGCTTATTTATTTTTTACATGTGCATTTGCTAATGTCATTTTAATGGGGAATTTCAACCCACAGGTACTTTTTTTTTTTTCTAAAAAATAATCTGCCAAATGAATTAATATATTAGAAATGAATAAAGCTCGAGGGGAGGGGGGTTGTGCTTAATAAATATTTGTGTTCAAGCTTCAGTGACCAAATTAGTTTTCATTATTTCTGGGCCTGCACCTTCGGAATGGGGTGGGGGTGGGTGCTGGTCTCTGGTGGCAGATGTCACCATGGGTAAGGACTAAGAAAAGGGTGGAAGCACCCACCTACACACCCCTTTACATGTAGAGCACACGGGACTCTGAGGGAGCCCGTTCCCTGCCCGGCTGCGGAAGGAACACACAAAGCCCTGAGCATTCCCTGCCCAGAGCAACGGCGCAAGCCCAGGAGCCACCAGGACAATGGGGCAGACCAAGCAGCCCTGCAGCAGCCAAGACCGGCTTTCCTGGGCCAGCTCGAGCCCTCCAGGCTCTAGGAACGTGGCCGAGCTTTTCCCCTCAGGCTCAGCTCTGTCTCGGTGTGTTCTCGGCGCCTGCACCAAGAGCTGTGTCTTGTTTCCCAGAGGAAAGGGGCAGTGAGTGCTGTGCAAAGCCCTGACATCAGCCCTCAGCAAAGGTACTCACGGAGCAGGAGGCAGCAGCGCGAGCTCCTTCCAGCACAGTGGGGTGAGCAGGCCCTTGGGCTTCGCCAGGAAGTGAATCTGGGAGCAGCAGGGTTTGGATCCTGAGCCCTGTGGAGATAAAGCCAAGTCACAGCTGGTCTTCCCATACCCAGTAACTGGTGCTGCTGAAGATTAATGAAGAGCCATCAGCTCGTCCCCATCAGGTGTTCTCACACCTCTGGGGGCCTGGTCATGAGCAGCCCTGTGCTGGGAGTCTTGTGTGTGACCCGGGGACAGAACCATGCCCCCAGTACACAAACGACAGTGGCTGAACATCCCCGGAACAAATCCCTGCAAGTGTCCCACACCAGCCCTTCCCTCCCCGGCATCACAAAAGCACCCAGGCCCACAGAGCTTGTCCCACACAGGGAAGAGCTCTCCTGTGCT